TAGATGTGATTTTATGTTGTATATATCGTGTATATTATCGTTATTACAGGGTGTCTTCTTCCACCACGATATGGAAATAAACAGATATCTCACTCATAACCCGTAGTCTGTGGTTAATAACACATTGGAACTCCGCCATATCATGGCTGCCACAGAAACACAACTATTAGCGATACAAATGCTTTCTATTTCTTGGAACTTGAAGACAAAAGCATAGTATAAAGCAGGATGTTTTGTAGTCAGGCGGGAGCGGAAGAAAATCTATTAAAGTAGCGAATATGGTGTCGAGTAAAACATCAGACATGCTCATTTTAGCCGGAGTGCTACAAATTGGTCGGTTAAATTTTGTCTGAATGAATATGCTAGCCGTCTTTGATATTGCATCATGGAGAAACTCACTGGTCTGTGATTATTTGTATAACTGACGGTGTAGCTGCGAATTAATGCGGCTTTGAGCACTATTCTATCACTCACTGACGTTAATATTTTTCCAGCTTCCGGACACTTTCATGTTTTCACTTTTATTGGACATTCATATTCACAATTTCGTTTGTTAAATTATATTAAACACGTTGAGGATTTTTAAGTACATAGGAAAACAATGTAGGAAACAACCGGCAGCGGAATTATATACACTACCCTACACATCGTGTATGTAAATTACATAGCATTTTCAAGCTATGTGATAATTTTGCTAAATGCTACTTGGGAAATGAAAAGCACGAAAGAAGCATGACCACAGCACTACTAAGATACGCATGCGCCTTGACCTTATGATATTACGCATGCGCAACGACAGCGTCTAAAACGCGAGATCGCGAGATCGCGAGAACGCGAGAAAATGCAATGTCGCATTCTCGCGATCTCGACTTTTGACAAAATGTGCTATGTACCAAAAACACGAGAATGCGAGATCGCAGGAGCAGCGAGATTTTGGCCAAATCTCGCGTTCTCGCGATCTCGCATCTCGCACTGTTTGGCATTTTTAGCTTGTTTCCAAAGGTCGAGATCGCGAGAATGCGAGATCGCGAGAATGTCCCTTACAGTATTCCATAGACCAGTCCTTGTTGTACCCATTAATGCCCATTAAGGCAGGGACCAACAAGTACCATATTTTAACGTCTTTTGGTAGGACGCAGTCGGGGATCGAACCCGCGACCTTCAGCTCCCCGGGCGGACGCTCTAACCACTACACCACGGAGGCGGTAAGAATCTAGTAGAGTATTACTGTAGACTATGCATCCTCGACTCGCAGCGACCTAAATATCCTAAGCAGTCTGGAAATTAATGAATGCCCCGAATACAGAGACTTCACTACGGTTAGTTTACCCACCCTACTACAGTTACCAGTGTCAACACTTCCACGCCCTACCCTTCCCCGCCCCCGTCCCCGTCCCCTTCCTCCGACCCCTTATCATGTGTTTAAATGAAAAGACAAGATCCCCACAACAGGACTTTAATATCTCGCGCTTATCTGGCTGGAGACAGTTGTCAGTTATTGTCGTTTGTAGAACAGTGTTCTCGTATAACAGACATTGCGTCATTATATAGGTGTAGTAGGGTCATGCACTGTGGCACGCTATTCCTCGAGAAAAGTCGCTCTCGCTTAGTCAAGGTCAAGAACAGTGCAGAGTCGTCACTCGAGGGTAGTAGTAGTGGTAGGAGATGGGTAGTGTTAGCGTCAGCGTTGAGGAAGTGGTTGGGGTCTGGAGGTTGGGGTTGGGGCAGATGCAGGGCAGTTGACCCAGTGTAGGGGTTGGGTTAGAAGGTTGATGTTGTGATAGGGGGTAGGGGTAGATGCAGGTGTAGGTGTAGGGGTTGGGGTGAATGCAGGGGTGGTTGTAGTGTAGGGGTAGGGTAAGAGGTTGGTGTTGTGATATAGGGGTAGATGCAGGTGTAGGGGTAGGGGTTGGGGTAGATGCAGGTGTAGGGGTAGTGATAGGGGTAGGGGTAGGGTAGATGCAGGTGTAGGGGGTATGGGTGGGGTTTTGGGTAGATGCAGGTGTGCTAGGGGTAGTGATAGGGGTAGGGGTAGATGCAGGTGTAGGGGTGCAGGGGTTGGGGTAGATGCAGGTGTAGGGGTAGTGATAGGGTAGGGGTGGAGATGCAGGTGTAGGGGAAGGGGGTTGGGGTAGATGCAGGTGTAGGGGTGGTGTAGGGGTAGGGTTAGAGGTTGGAGTTGTGATATGGGGGTTGGGGTAGATGCAGGGGTAGGGGTAGATGCAGATGTCTTAAGGGGTAGTGTAGGGTAGATGCAGGTGTAGGTGTTATAGTAGGGTAGGAGTAGGGGTAGGGTGTAGGTGATGGGGTAGGGGTAGGGGTTGTGATAGGGGTAGGGTTAGAGGTTGTTGTGATAGGGGTAGGGGTAGATACAGGTGTAGGGGGTAGTGTAGGGAGTAGATGCAGGTGTGGAGTGGTACAGTGTAGGGTAGGAGTAGAAGGGGTAGGGGGTAGGTGATGGGGTAGGTGATGGGGTAGGGGTGGGGGTTGTGATAGGGGTAGGGGTTAGAGGTTGGTGTTGTGATAGGAGTTAGGGGGTAGATACAGGTGTAGGGGTAGTGTAGGGTAGGGGGTACATGCAAGGTGTAGGTGTTATGGTGGTAGGGTAGGGGTAGGGGGTAGGGGTAGATGATGGGAGTAGGGGTAGGGGTTGTGATAGGGTAGGGGTGGGTGTTGGGGTAGGGGTAGAGAGCTGGGGTAGAGACCAGGGTTGGGGTAGTAGAAGTAAGGGTAGGGTTTGGGGGTTGTGATAGGGGGTAGGGTTAGGGTTGGGTGTTGTGATAAGGGTAGGGAGTTGGGGTTTTGATAGGGGGGTAGGGGTTGGGTTGTGATAGGGTAGGGTTGGGTTATGATTAGGGTAGGGGGCTGGGGCAGATACAGGTGCAGGGGTAGTGTAGGAGTAGGGGGTAGATGCTACTGGAGTGTAAGGCAGAAGTGTAGGGGTAGGGTAGATGCAGGTGTAGGGGTAGGGGTTGGGGTACATGCTGAGTGTATAGGAGGTAGTGTAGGGGTAGGGGTAGATGCAGGTGTAGGGGGTAGTGACAGAGAGTTAGGGTAGGGTTGGGAGTTGTGATTGGGGTTGGGGTTTGGAGTTTGTGATAAGGGTAGGGGTTGTGGTTGTGATAGGAGTAAGGTTTAGGTTCCTGTGATAGGGTAAGAGGTAGGGGTTAAGGGTTTGTGATAGAAATTATGGTTGGGGTAGAGACCAGGGTTGGGAGTAGGAGTAGGGTGGCGGTAAGTTGTAGTGGTAATGGTGGGAGGTACACGTGTAATGGTAGCAGTAGTTATTGGTATAGGTATCTCATTAGATGATAGTTGCAACCATATTAGATATGAAAGGACAGTGTAGCAGAACGACGATACTCAATCAATGTGTACCCACCAGTTAAGATGTATCGTGTTCCCGTTTGGGGCAACATAAGTTGGTGCGCACAGAGACAGATATCGAAATACATGGGCAGACTGCCAAATATGGTCATACCGTTACAGGTGATCAGACACAGACAGATAGACAAAGAGATAAAACAAACAAAGGCAAACATGCAAACACGCACACACACTCACTCACAGACGTGGGGGTCACACGGATATTGCCAGCCTGTAGACGGTGACTAGCAGTATCATAGTGCCTTAACACAAGTGGTATAATTTAACCATCAGAAATATATATGATCATCGTAAAGTTTGTCTCAAAGTGTATATTCATTACTGGGAAACAAGTCTATTGAAAGGAGAAAATAGCACGTGCAATCACTGTTCAGATTGAGGGGCGATTGAAAGGTAGATTGCCAACAACTGCGGTGAAAAGAAAGGGTCTAATATTTGTGTTTTAGAGGCAAGATCTGATCACACCCACACCCACACCCCACACCCACACCCACACCCCACACCCACACCCACACCCCACACCCACACCCACACCCACACCCACACCCACACCCACACCCACAACACCAACACCAACACCCACCCACCCACACCCACACCCCACACCCACACCCACACCCACACCCACTGCCACACCCACTGCAACACCCACACCCACACCCACACCCACACCCACACCCACACCCACACCCACACCCACACCCACACCCACACCCACACCCACACCGTATGCACTTCCACCTTGATCAATGTGTACATGTCTGACACGGCAGTAGAATTCTAAAACTTGGTGAATAAACCCTATAGGAAAGCCTACCACATAACGACATCTACATGTTATATCCACACACAAACACACACCTGTCCACATCCATAAATATACAAGCCATATCTATTCCAACATCCATACACGTTTACACCCATGCACATGTCTACACCCATATCTATATCGACATCCATACACGTCTACACCCATATCCACATCCAAATATCTACACCTACACCCATGCACACTTCTACACACCCATATCCACATCCATACACGTCTACACCCATATCCACATCCAAATATCTACACATATACCCATGCACATTCTCTACATCAGCACGCACGCAAGGCACACACTTACCCATATAGATATAGCGCCACATACATGCGCGTGTACACGAATACAGACGCACTCACAAACGCATACATGCATACACACACACACACACACACACACACACACATACATATCACATACATACATTCATACATTCATACATACATACATACATACATACATATACCTTAGCATACATACATACATACATACATACATACATACATTGCCATACATACATACATACATACATACATACATACATCGTACACACACGCACATACATACATACATACATGTAGCATATTGCCATTGCCATATTGGCATAGCCATTAGTGTATAGTCACAATGCATGATTCACCGTACCACACACAAAAGTTAAGACTTCTGTATAACCTGACACAATATGGCCTTTGCATTGATCTCTGTTCAGTACCACACGCCGGTGTATTATGTGATTGTGTCAATGGAGTTGAACACACATAAATGAATAAGAAAGTGTCTCACCTGTTTGGTTGAGGTGGCAATCCAGGACACGATTGTCTAGGTTGAAGCCGGATGGAACACCAAGTAAACCCTCTGTGTACAATGACTGCTCTCTGGCTGTGGTTGACACCAATACAGGCAGTTGCATGTTTCTATTTCAAGGGTCGGGTAGGCTGAATGTGCTGAACGAGCCCAAGGCAGATCGAGATCGTTTATCCAAAATTCGAATTTGCACCCAGATTATGGTTCAGGGCCCCGCTTCACAAAGCTCCTCGTAAGCCTAAGGTTTCGTAACCTTTCTCGTAGCATCTGTACCTCCTATACTGCAACATTCACTTACGATAATCGTAGCGCTACGAGAGCTTTGGGAAACGGGGTCCTGGTTGGTAAGCACCACGTCCTTCCTCGTGGGTTCCATCAACGTGGTGAATGTCTGAAAAGCTGCATCACTTCAATCTTTCTTTCTGACACGCTTCATGATAATATAACTAGGACACTGTTCAATGCGGAGGAAGCCAAACCAAATTCAGGCTGGTTGGTTGGTTTGTTCCTTATTCTAGCTATGGCGGTGGTCTGTAAATGGTCGAGTCTGGACCAGATAATCTAGTGATCAACAGCATGAGCACGATCCACGAAATTGGGATGCGATGGCATGTGTCAACCAAGTAAGCGAGCCTGACAATCCTATCCTATTAGTCGCCTCTTCCGACAAGCAGGGTTGTTGGAGACATATTCTCACCCGGATCTTCACCGGTCTCCAAATTCACGTCCTCCAACTGGATCTGACCAAACGCTAGCTAAACGGTTTTGTCATGTTTGGATAAAAATGACATTCCGAGCAGTAGAGATATGCAGGGAATCAATGAGTGAGTGAGTGTAAATAATAAATAAAATATTTTTAAAAATGCTGAATCGTCATCATGGTAGTTAACTGTACATGGAGTTAACAGTCAGGAGACAAAGTATTCTTTTGAAAATATAATGCAGAATGAAGTGGGAGAACAATATACATTTCAGAGATTAGCAAATCAGAACACGGGATTTGTCTTAGTCCTAGCTGGATAGTGTCACTCAAGTGTATGCTGTCATTGAATCTATGGTGAATGTGCTAACAAAAGTGGAAGAAAAATAACAAAGTCCATCCTGTTGATATCCTAGATCGCATATGCGTCTGTCCTATTGTCATTATTCTCTCATTTCATTAGTAACAAACCCAACGACGTTTTCTATTCAGTTTCTACATCTAAAATCATTTTAATCATTTAACAGGAAAATGCACAAAAGATAATTTTCAAATGAAAGATTGTTGCTTTTACATCATCAATATATGTATCGTTTTTCTGTTTGTTTGTTTTAAAACGATTAACGAAATGAATAAATTTGATTAAAACACAAATATTTAATACCTGAGTTACGAAACACTCGGGATTTACTTGGTGTTACGTGATGCATGAACAGCCATAAATAACCTGGAGAGCATTACAACACTTGCCATCGTTACAAGGTACGAGTTAGGTATATGCTTGACGTCACATACATGTTAGACATATTGACTGTATTAGGTGGCAGCTATATATACTGTCAGGTATTCCGGGGAATGTCTGTGCACTACAGACACACCTTGGTCAATTCCCCGAGAAAAGCGACTCTGCGCCAGCTTATCTCTTCAGGAATTCAACGTTCGGGTGAACACAAGTAGCATGACTGTGACAACCCCGTTTATCTGTAAATGCACTGGTTGCATATCGCCTTACTCCGTGCAGCGTTATATGTATGCAGGCCTGTCGTGAAGCAAAAACGACAGAGCATATTTAATCTTTATCAGCACGCCATGAATCTTACGGAAGCCTTCAAGGGTCACACATTTGTTTTGTGGTGTGGTTTTTTTTCAGTATAAATTTCAAGATACAAAGTTAAAAATTTAAGATATATGATCTTGATATTTCAAGTTAGAATTCTAGTTAGTTAGTATGTTGAAATTTCAACTTACAGATAAAATGGTCCTAAACGGCTTTCGTAAGTTTCATTTCTTCTTTTCATCAACATATTATCTTGAAAGTTAACCTATCTATCTTGATGTTTCAGTTAATACATCTTCAAATGTCTGAAAAAGAACAAAAATAACGAATGGCCCTAAAAGGCTTCCGTAGGCCTCAGTACTTCCGTATGAAAGAGTGGTTTAGTATGGCAAGCATGTGAAGGCTCAATACTGCATGGAATGGTGAGAGATTCAACGCCGCTTTTAACATTATTTGTACATCACATTCATCTACAGGCGGTGGGGTAGCCCTGTGGTTAAAGTGTTCGCTCGCCACGCCGAAAACCAGGTTCGATTCCCCACGTATTTGGTCATGCAAGAGAACATCGTGTTCCATAAATACACTAGGGCATGTTAGGTCATACAAGAGAACGTCGTGTTCCATAAATACACTAGGGCATGTTAGGTCATACAAGAGAACATCGTGTTCCATAAATACATAGGGCATGTTAGGTCATACAAGAGAACATCGTGTTCTATAAATACACTAGGGCAACTTAAGTCAAGAGATCAACGTTTCTATAAATACATAGAATATATTAGGTCATACAAGAGAACAGTGTTTGACAACACGCTAGTGAGGGAAATATTTCCTTATTCGTTGTTAGAAAGATATTGACTTCTTTGATAAATACAACTTAAGTCAATCAACTTTCCAGATCGAATATAGTCATCTCGTTTTGACAAAATAGCATGTGATTTTAGCATTCTTCTGACGATGTCTCTGCCTTGCGACACCTGATTTCATGGATGCACGGTAAGTAATGTCACTCCTCAGGAAGGTCACGATCAATTACCAATGGTAACACAGATCCGTATTTTATAGCGTACTGTGGAACTACCACGATGCTTAAGGGAACATCTTGCTGAGTGCGGCGTGATACTAAACTGACTTAAGGGAACATAGCAGTTGCAGAACATGAACATATTAAGCATATCAGTGATTACGTTTTGGGCCACATACCTACTACATACTGACGACGTGTACAATTCTGAAGATAATTGATCCGATTAATTGATTGATCTTCAGTAACCCATGGGGGCGGTGGGGTAGCCTAGTGGTTAAAGCGTTGGCTCGTCACGCCGAAGACCCGGGTTCGAATCCCCACAAGGGTACAATGTGTGAAGCCCATTTCTGGTGTTCCCCGCCGTGATGTTGCTGGAATATTGCTAAAAGCGGCGTAAAACCAAACTCAGTCAGTCAGTCAGTCAGTCAGTAACCCATGCTTGTCGTAAGAGGCGACTAACGGGATCGGGTGGTCATGCCCATGCTGTTGATTACTGGATTCTCTTGTCCAGGCTCAATTATTTACTGACCGCTGCCATATAGCTGAAATATTGCTGAGTGCATGTGCTTTGGAAACATGCAGCATATGCAATAATTGGGGATTAAACTTTCTCAGCAAAGAATATATTCTAGTACTTTGGTAAGATTGAGTCCCTGTCGGGATTAAAACCCTCAGTTTGAATCCCAATTTATAACATATGTGACATGTGGCCACGTTCTAAATGACATTATATATTCAAAGGGAAAACATAACTGGATGTTTTAAATGGTATGCTCTTTATAAAACTCACTTACGTAGCACCATTTTGAATACTTGATTATAACTATATCCGTTAATTATCTGTTCAGTGAATTTTGCTCATGTGTTTAATATATTAATAGTTAAATGTGGAACTTTGCTTCAAAATTCCAAGAAAGAGCTGAATATTACTGATATAATTGATGATTCATTTAATATTGAGTCTATAACATCATAAAATGTCTCATAAATCAAATTTAATAGGTGAAAAATCCCCAGTGAATTCACTGTCAGTTTCCACATGTGTTGAATCTGCTGCAAAACAAACCTTTGTCAAAGGTCAGTTAACACTGACTGTTGGTGTTCCGTGAGCAGTCCATTTTCTGTGAGCAGGGAGATGTGGTGCAATAGGGCTTGCTGAATCCTCAGTTTATGCCCCATCACTATTCGCCAGTCAGGATAATGATTATGATGGTCTGGAACTTATAGCAATTCAACGAGAAATACACGATCTGTAGTTACTCACAGCACTTACAGCACAGCACAGTACAGTACAGTACAGTACAGCAAAGCACAGCAAAGCACAGCACAGCAAGGCAAAGCAAAGCAAAGCAAGCCCTGCACCCCTCCTGTTGGTATCGACTTCACTGATTATACAGATCCAAATTTTCTGTTGGGGATGAAATTGTCTCTGAAAGTAAATCAAGTGACGTAAAGCCTGTGGCAATTGTCACAATTGTACAATTAATTATTTCTCAGAAGATTAAGTAGGAATAACAGTTTACATTAGCCAACTGGCAGTTGAGATATCAGGAGACAGAGCTGTTGATAACTGGCTGTTCAGGAAATGCTGCCTCAAGTGCTTTTGTTGTGTTTTACCTTGCCGTGGGTCTCAATGTATAGATTAGATGAGATCGAGGATATGTCTGCATTTAGGAAATACACATCGGAGCAGCAATGTGATAATGAGACTCCATTTACTGAATTCAAGCCATACGGGATCTCACAGTGCTTCAGCAAATGTTTGCAACTTGCTAGTTGTACGTATGTAAGATATCACCCAAAGAAGCTGATCTGCCGAACATCAAAGACTGTGCCATCTGCTAAACCCAAGAACTCAAAGAGTGACCAAGGTTGGATTTGTTGGAACATAACACGTCCGGTAAGGGCATCAATGTGTTGCATCTTAACTAAATGTGAAATATGTAAGGTATACATAGTTATCTGATTCCGAGCTTTAATTAATTGGAGCTGAAGCAACACTTTGCTGATCATAACATGTGGCTTTAACTGGGCAACCTAAATGCAGTGCATCCCTGTGTCGGCGGACGAAGGGTGTCAGGGCAGGCACCGGACCCGACAACAATTGTTTGTTTTAGCACAACCTACCACTTCGAACACAGTTTTGCACAGACAGCTAGTAAAATTTAATTCATATGGAGTTTGGACGGAAATGATTACTTTCCTTTTTCCTCTGTGACACTCCATAGTGTGTGAGGGGTGAGTATCGTTTAGCAATATTCCAGTGTATTTAGCAATA